AGCATAAAAGTGCATAATGTAAAATCATAAGTGAAATGTTAACCAGAAGGAAAGGCAAGATTGAAGTGGGTCTTTAGTCGTAATTTAAACAGTACAATAGAATCAGAGGTGCGGATAGCGAGAAGGAGGTTATTCCACATTTTATTATTCCGGGGCAGCCAGAGCAAACGCACGGTCACCCCGAGACTTCAGCTGAGATCTAGGTTGCGTCAGAAGTAGTTGAGTAGCAGATCTAAGTGTCCTATTAGGAGTATGTGGCCTGAGAAGTTCACTAAGATAACTCGGCGCTAATTTATTAATAGTTTTGAACGTAAGGAGTAATATTTTAAATTGAATATGGCACTTTATGGTCAGTCAGTGCAAGCCAGCTAGAGCAGTAGTAATAGAGCAGAATTTCCTGGTACCAGTCAAGAGGCGGGCCGCCCCATTTTGGACTGTTTGCAGTCTAAGGAAAAGAGAAGAGGGAAGACCGTAGTACGGAGAATTACAATAATCCAACCTGGAGGTCACAAAAGCGTGAATAAGCTTCTCCAGGTCCTCATGCGGAACATAATGCCTAGCCTTAGAGATAAGGCGCAGTTGGTGGAAGCTAGATCTCACTAGCAGACACTTGCTTATCGAGTTTGAGCGAGCTATCCAGCAATACACCCAAGTTACTGACATAGTCACAGGAAGAGCTAGCAAAGGGACCCAGAGCACCACAAAGTTGGACATATTTCCACCTTGACACTTCCTTTGAACAGAGGTTACACCAGCCTTGGTTGTCAGAGTGAAGTGGCAGGTGTCCCAAGTTGTCATAACGCACATCTGGTTGTGGATGTGAAGATCTTGGGGTGTAACGTTTCTGCTGAGGCAACATTTGAGGTGGAGAAGAAGATGATGGTCAGCTAAACTTTGATGGAAGCTTGTTGACCTGCATCAAACTGTGGGCAACTGCACGATGAAACCTTTTGAGAGAGAGTGGTTTCTCATTTAGTAGGGCACAGTCCCTCTTGTGAACAAGCCAGGCATTTGAGATGCAAAGGTGGAGGATGTGGCCAAACATCGTAAAACACCATTGCTTTGATTTTGCTGAAGTCTTGTAAATGTGGACCGGCATGTCTGATAGAGCAGAGATCTAGATAAGAGATATTCATCTCCTGTTGGAAAAAAAAAACATAGCAAAGCAAGAGGGAGACACAGAGGGCAGCTACACAGGGGGAAACTACTAAATAATCAGGGAACTAAACAGGGAATACAAGAAACTCAAAACAGAATAACTAGACTCTATAGAATAAACTAAAGACTAACAAAGTGAACGTTATACATAAATCATAGTACAAAAGTGCAAAAATACAGGAAAACTCAAAACACTGGGTCAAATGACCCAGGACCATGACAAATAACATCATGTACAGTAAGACAGGCATGGAGAACAGCACTGACCATGAGAGGCTTCGAACAGATGACACAGCATATATACGACTTTAAGTATATATGTCATCTGTGATATTATTGTGCACAATTATAATGTATTGTTCACCTCCCTTAAATAAACAGGCAGCTTTAAAGTGTGAAATATTCATTGTTACGTCCCCCCCGAAGGGGTCTAGGCATGCGAGTAAGCGGACCAGTAACAAATGAGCCCGGAAACAGAATGAAAAGGAAAACAGACAGGTGTTTAGTAAATAAAAAAGTTTTTATTATAGAGAACCTTAACATAAAGAGCCGGCACCGCCGTTTTTCCAATAACACTAGAAAAAGAAAAAAAGTTGCAACAATAAAAAACACAACAACGGAACAAAAAACCCCACACCACGAGGATGCACTTCCAGGGTCCCACAAGCTCACCCTGTCACTAGCAACCGCTAGCTTTACTGCTGCTGAGGCCCACAGGCCCACACTACTCACATAAAGCATTGAAAGCGAATACAAGGCGAGCTTCTACAAATTACAGTGGGCTCAGGAGAAATTCACCTACCTGAGACACTGGCCATTTTAGATGGTAAGTCCTGTGACTAGAAGGATTGCAGCGATTTAATCCATTCCAAAATCATAGAGAATTGTTTGGGGTTTTTTTGTAATGATGTCATATTGCTTTCAGTGGATATTTAAGCTGGTGCGCAGGTTTCCACTATCAGCAATGATTGGTATGAATGCATGTGACTGGACTGTGATGGACTGATGATGTGTACTAAGTGTGACTGACTTGAAATTGAGATGACTGTAACTATTTTAGGATTAGTCACTTCTAATGCCTAATCCACCCCAAACAGTGACAAAGTTGTGGATGTATGTGTTTTGTTTTGGGGTTTTTTGGTTTGCTTGTTTTTGCAGGAGCAAGAGGATGACAGAGACCAGAGGAGGTTCACATAAGTGTGTGTGGGCCCTGCAGACTTAACCCTTTAGCTGACACTTTTCTGTGTTACTGATTTTTGTGTTAAGTAAACAATGGTTGTACTGGCTGCTTGTTGGTTATGCTATCACACTGTATTGTTGGAAAATTTTAAACATTACAGTGGGAAAATGTGTATACAATGTAGAAAATATACTGTGTTGAAACCAGCGTTCACAGCAGCAGATTGTTGACTACATGATTTACAGCAGCACCTCTGGAATCTGTTGATCCAGGCCTGACCTCCTGGACGCTCCACTGCTAATGTTTTTTTCCCCCCTCTCTCTAAGGGTCTTTGTGGAGGATTTGGCATCACACAGACAGACATGAGTGACAATAAAGCAGGATGTGCAGTGATTACAAAACATTTTAGTGTTGGGCTCATTATCATATCAATATTTATCTCAAGCTATTGAGCTTGTAGTGTTAAACCAAGTAAGTGACATTACTTAAGAACAGTCACCGGTTACAGCAGTTTTGATTAAACACATGGGATGATCCTTGATTTGGGCAAATTATGGCAACAGTAGTGCTTTTAGTGATCTGGGGAAATAAACTGCACATGGCACACTTGTATCTGTAGTGCTGGTTGCCTTATTACTCTTATGACCAGTGATGGGAATAACGGCATTACAAGTAACGGCGTTACAAGTAACAGCGTTACTAACGGTGTTACTTTTTTCAGTAACGAGTAATCTAATTAATTACTATTCCTACCGTTACAACACCGTTACTGTTACTAACAAGAAAATGCGGTCGCGTTACTATTTTTCAACAAACAGACGGTTGAAGCTGTGTTCAGCTTACCGCTTCTTATATCAGTTGCACGGAAGTAGCTGTAAGTAATCTGGACTCTACAGTTTTAAGCAGCTGCGCGCGCTCCCACGGACAGCAATCACTTTCTGCCCGACGATCACTTTTTGGCACAACACCTGGACCCCTAGGAAATGCCCATCCCATCCTAAGTAATTTAAATAGATGACCGGTAGTCGTTGGTGTAACGTTTCTAATCATTTTACAAATGGTAAATGGCCTGTATTTGTATAGAGCTTTACTAGTCCCTAAGGACCCCAAAGCACTTTACACATCCAGTCATCCACCCATTCACACATACATTCACACACTGGCGATGGCAAGCTACATTGTAGCCACAGCCACCCTGGGGCGCACTGACAGAGGCGAGGCTGCCGGACACTGGCGTCACCGGGCCCTCTGACCACCACCAGTAGGCAATGGGTGAAGTGTCTTGCCCAACAACGGTTGTAAGACACTTACACTTCGGTCGTACTAAGTTGAAGTGAAGTTGAAGTTTTCTTTTACAGATGAACAACTAATGCTGTTTCATTTCTGTATGTGATCTTACATGTTTGTTTTCTTTTATATTATAACTGTCATTCTTTTGAACAAAGGGTGGAGAATCAGATGAAGAGAGGCTGATAGTGAGAGTGAAGATAACTATAAAGTGTGAATTTGTTTTTCCTTATGACTATAGGAAGGATGAACACAAATGGTGCAGGGTGCTGCTGCAGGCCCCTCTCTTATCATTAAATGTAAGGGCAGGAGGCAGTGCGACCTTTTCACAAACAGAAAGAGAAGAAATGGCAGCTTCTGCTGCAAATGTGGGAAGTTTACATGCAAGGACCACAGTCTGTCCATTTGCAGCCTCTGTTCCACCTAAGCAGGACTCTCACACCCAGACAGATACCCTCTCTCATGCCTTTTCCCCATCCCCAACAACATAAATGTTCACGTTCATCTTTCTAAAATGTTTTTCTGGTTCAAACTGATCTTG